TAAAGGGAATCCAATGGAGAAATGGATTTATTTTTAGATACCCTTTAAGGCCTCATTCACACGAGAAAAAGCCGGCACATACAGCTCCGTGCTGCGTGCGTGGCCCTATCGGGCATCTCCCGGGAAGGACAGGTGCTGCGTGTGATTGGTACGCAGCCCTTGTCCTTCTATATGGGAGTATGTGGCCGTACGCCCCCCTACGCTCACCCCAAGTTCAGGTCCATACGGGTGAGGGTGTCCCGGCTCGGACGCAGACAGGATTCATCCTATCAGGGTACGAGTACGCTCACCCGCACCTGTATGGCCGCGTACTCCTATAGAGAAGGACGGGGGCTGTGTACTAATCACACGCAGCACCTGTCCTTCCCGGGAGCTGCACGATACGGCCGATTCCAGTGTGAATGAGGCCTTAGAGTTTAATCCTCAATCTGGCCACCCCAATTCACCTGCCACCACGGCAAGTTTTAGACAGAATGGGATTCTGGGTGGGGGCCCATATGCTACAAATATTGTACTCTACTGTATGGGTGCCAGGGGCATCCCACTCAAGAAACAAATATAAAAGTTCGATCTATAGCATCCGTGTTCATTGTGGGACAGGCACAATGCAGGGGTGATTTAGGGGTACATTTGAATTGTGCTAAATCTTTCAGTCTCTGCATGCCAAGCACATACCGACCCTTCCAAAGCAGCAGCAAAATAACCAACTGTAATCAGCAGCATAACACAGATAAAAATGTATAATTTGTAATTACCAGAAAACTGCAAATGTCTCATAATTACTAAGCAAGACACCAATTTCAGCTACTTCATGGCCGGAAATACTTATGACTACAGCTACAGTCCTTGGGCACGGCTTACAGGAAGTCTATCCAAAAGGTTTTTCTCTTTTCTTTAAAGCTGGACTCCAGGATCAGCAAATATTGTCCTCATAAAAGAGGCATACATACAATATATACACTACATACCTACAAAGGTATTCTTCTTGAAATCTCAGCGAGCTTTGCTTTCATCACCCAGTTTACCTGTATGCTACCATCAGGTTTCACTCCATTGCAGCTTACAGGGAATGGTGTGTTGGCTGTCAGGAGGAACAGGGGATTATGGGGCAGGGTTACCCACCCCTGTGATGGTTACATCTATGGACCCCCCCCCACCACCAATGTTATGGAGATTAGGAGAGAGGGAGTTGCTCTAGATTGATAACACTGCTCCTCCTTAGACACAGTACATTGAGTGAGCGTTGTCATCCTAAGACAGGAAGTGTGATACTGGCAGGGTCACCAGGTGAAAATAAAAGGAGAACATATACAAAATGAATGCGCCACATCTGAGGACTGGTAAGCGGTGTAATAATATAATATATACTTGGTGAATATATGGACTGTTGCAACTTACATTTTCCTCCTTGGGTTCAGATACACTTTAAAGGGAAATTCCACCTTGTTGCTTACTTCTTCACAAAAGAAAAAATGTGCATGTATTATTTTATTTTTTTGCATAATAGACAGCACAGCATTGCAACCGGGATGAGTAGATGGCGGGTGCAATGCACTACTGCAGACTATTCCTCTGGTCCTTTGTCTCGGTGCGGACATTGACGGTAGGAAGCGCCAATGCACTACAAGTGTGGTGACGTCTTGTACTGTGGTGACAGCTTCCAATAAGAGCTACAAGGCCCTCTGCTGCGGTGACAGATGTACAATTTGTCACCGCAGCAGAGGGCCTTGTAATTGTACTTGTACTTTTTCCATTCGCAGAACCCATCAAAGGATCTCTGAATGGATGACGCGGCTGTGTAGGTGGAGCCACGCACAGCTGCGACAAATTCAAAAAGGTAAACAAGTGGGTTTCCTCCGGGTACTCCGATTTCCTCCCACACTCCAAAGACATGCTGGAAGGTTAGTTGGCTCCTCTCTAAATTGGCCCTGTATGTATGTATGTATGTATTTATGTGTGTGTATGTGTGTGTATGTGTGTGATGATAGGGACCTTAGATTGTAAGCTCCTCGAGGGCAGGGACCAATGTGAATGTGCAACTATGTAAATTATCAGCGCTATATACATTAGGGTGGGGGGAGGGGGGGGTTGTGATCTGAGCATGTTTCATGCTACACCCTAAACACGAACGTAATATGAAACATGGTCAGTAATTGAAACTCAGCCTATAAATATTTTTCTACCTAATTTTTTTGTTTGATATCTTTTTTACTATTGAGATTTTTTTTGTGTTAGTGTCACTTTAAGAAAAAAAAAAATTACACAAAATGTAAAAAAAAAAAAAACACACCTTTATTTCATTCTTTAAATAACTTCTTCATGCTCCGTACCATTATTAATTATAAACAGCATAAATTATAGAATAGAATTTGCACTTTATATACAGCAACACGAGTTGTTTAAAAACTAACAATAGTAAAACTAGATAAAAGCTGATTTGTTCTTTCCTTTTTTTGTTACATCGTTCCGCCTGTAAGTTGCACAGAAAACAAAATCATTTTTGCAGCACAATCTTGCTGAAATAAAATCTGTGTCTGTCCATGTCTGTCTATCCCTCAACATCATTAGCGATGCCGAATAAATTGCTCCGGTCCCTAGGTGGAGTCCCAGTAGGAGAGCTGAAGTGGTTAAAGGAAAAGTCCTTGTTCACAGGAGCTCCAGCATGCATGCCGGCAAGCTTTGAGTCGCTTTGTTGGAGCCTATAAAGCACCGTTCAGCTCCAGTTTGAGAAGGTTAAGCACAGATCTTATTGGGAGGGCCGACTGTCACTTTAAACGAGCTACTAGCAGGCTTCAGCGGGCTTTCAACAAGCTAAAGGCAATGCCGAAGCTTACTGAAGTCTGCTAGCAGCTTGTTTCAATGTGACAGTCGACACTCCCATTAAGATCTGCACTTATCCTTCCCAAACTGGAGATGAATGCTGCATTACAGGCTTCAACAAAGCTTTAAAGCACCATTACATGCACAATACACACTTTGGACCCCTACATAGGCTTACCAGGTAATGAATACTATTCGTAAAACTGTATTTGGCTGCCCTGATTCATGGCGGTATATAATGGGGAACTCACTTTTCTTGAGCCAAAATAACAGACCATTAAAGAGACCCTGTCAGGTCTCTAATAGAGAATAACCTGGTGCAAACCTTCACCCGAGTTTGCACAAACCCGCTCAAAACTTTGACCCCCCCCCAGCCAACCCAATCAGAGGCACCAGTTGCAGCAAGCTCATTCCATTCTTCTTTGTGACGTAGATCTGCAGGAAAGGGAATGCACCTCTCCGCAACTGATTGGGACAGGAAGACGGGGTGGCGGTCACAGTTTTGAATGGGCTTGGCTGAACAGGGTTCGCACCAAGCCTAGACTCATCTACCAGTCTCTAAACACATCAGAAGGCCAGTTTTCTGCTAGAGGAGGCGTAGTAAACTCAGTTCTCTGGCAGCCTGGGTCTTCTACCACCCAACCTTCCAGCGTTGTAGGCACCTTCAGCCTCATGGGCATTCAACATTTCCTGAGTGTTGGATTCCTGTGTCTCCTGCCATGAGCTGGTTCCTTCCTAAGATCTTTATGTCACTTTAGGACACAGAAGTGATATAGGGGTCGGAGGCTGGAACAACTGTGCATGGTAAAGGACACAGACATCCGACACTACTGGAAGCTTTAAATGCCCAAGAGGCTGACAGAGGTTGCAGCAATGGAACGGATGGAAGGTATGAATCATGGGTCACCAGAGAGGTAAGTATAATACATCTAATCTTGCATGGAGCTGAACCTTTGATTCGTTTACAGACCCAACAGGGCCACTTCAAGACAAAACCTTGAAAAGCCCATCTTTAGGCAAGAAAGAAAACTTACCCTTGTAGTGGTGTGCATTGCGGGGGTTAAGAGCTCATTTTTTCTAGGGGACTCAAATCAAGCTGTTTAACCTACTTAATTCCGGCTTCACGGTCAGCGCTCACTTCTTCTCCTTCGACAGGATGTTGGAATGTCCTTCAGCGTCCTCACGTCTAATGCAAGGTAATGGACATGCATATGACGTGATGACGTCAATGGTCCTTAGGCCAAAAGAATGAAGGAAAAAAGAGGTACGGGGCCTGGTCTAACAGCCTGGAGGAAGGCGACAAGACCGAGGATCCAGTAATTAAACCAGCTTTAAGAGTGTCCTCTAGAAAAAAAACTAGCGCGTAACCCTTGCAGTGCATGGGTAGCCCCACTGCCAGGGTACGTTTTATGTTTGTCCGGAGAAGGGTTTTAAGTTTAATTGAAAAGTTTTTTTTAAGTTTTGGATTGATTAGAGAATCCAAAACGGAGAACTGCTGTCAGTTTTTTTTCTCCCTCCATATTGCCATCTATATTCCTTAAGGTAGATTTTCCAACACTTCCTGGCACTCAACAGGAAGTGAGGTGAAATCCCCTTAGTTGTCAAAGGGAGAGGTGCCCCCATGCCCTTGTTGACCCAAAGTTTCTGTAAGCTTAAAGGCTTTGTGCGTGAGGGGCTACCTTTTATTAGAACGGGAAAAGGTGGATCAGCACATCCATCTGGATTAATTAAGGGCCCATTTACTTCATTGTGTTACGTTAAGGCATGTGCGTTATGTCGCACACTACATTAAGGCAGCCCATTAAAATGGATGGGCGTCCAACGTACCATAATGTGATAAGGTGAGTTGTGGCAAACTACAATGCAGGTGCGTTGCCACAATGCATTCAAAATAAATAGCACGGCAGTAATGCACTTGTTACCGTGAGACAGAAGTGTAAAGACGTTATAAAACATCACTTATAATTCACATATTTAAAAACATGACCTATGTGAATAAGACCTTTGAGTGGAGAACGGTTTGGTTTTTTAGCAGCTTTGGCTGTTTTTAAATATGTGAATTAAAAGTGAAGTTTTCGTCTATCCAGACGGAGGTGCTGATCCATCTTTTTCTGTTGGAAGTGTTGAAGACACATGTACCGTGCACTCCACGGGAGAGCTGATGGATCCCAGGTAGAGGGTTGAGCGGACCATTTAGTACCATTTGTTACCTTTTGCTAGATACAGCAGCTTTTGGTCCTGCACACGCAGAGGGAGATCGGTTCGCTCCAGGTGGCTGAGTATTACTAACACTGCTTTCAAATGAAGAATGAAAATTGTTTATCGTCTCTTGGAGAATTTGTCTCTCACGACCCTTTCCAGCGTTGAGTTCCGATATAGCTGCCAGAATCTGCTGCCTGGATCCATCAGTCTTTATACCCAACTCCTTCAAGTCGCCATCGGTAAGCGTGAGAAAAGCTTCCATGTCAACTTCTTGCTCCTCAAATATGGGCTGGTACTTCTCCAGGGATAACTTCTTAAGAATGGCAGAAAGTTCATCTTCATCTGTGATAGTTCCGCTGCTGGAGCCTCCGCTGCTCTTGGAATGTTTGTGAGAAGAGGATGAAGACATGGTGGACTCCACCAGGCAATCTTTTGGTGAAGGTGAGGGAGACGGAGTCAAAGTAGGGGAGGTGCTCTTGGAGGTAGAAGATGTCCCTGATGGAGGCCGTTTCAACTTTTCATTTTTCTTTGGTAAGTGTCCATTGCTGCCGGAATGGATGGTCGGTGGTTCAAGAGTGGTGGAGCTGCTGGTTTTGTTCATCAATTTTTTGGGTGATTTTTTCTGTTCTGACAGGCTGGCTGCTTTTCGTCTTTGGGCTGCTATCTGTGACAGGACATTGTCCGCACTCCCTCCTGCGACACTTCCAGCGCCTCCAGAAGAGTGGGGAGAATGGTTGAAGTTGCCTGAATTTGAAGGAGACGCTGGGCTTCTTGGCAGAGACGGAAATTTAACAGTTCTGGGCGCTCTACTGATTGAAGTGATGTCCAAATTACCACTGCTGTTAAAACTTGGCTTTGACAGTCTCTGGGGCGTGGAGGAGCGGGTCTGGTCCAATTTTCCATCTCTGCTGATCCGAGACCGATCAGAATTCCACAACTCAAAGTTTGAGGGCGGTAAGAACGGTGGAATCACAGCCTTCAGTTTCTCATTGGGAAGTTTGGCAAATGGAGAACCGTTCTTTAACATGGTAGCAAGGAGCAAGTCATCGCCGTCGGTTTTTGTTTTGCCCAGACCACTGTCTTTAGAGTAAGCAGTCCAAGCTGTAGTAGAGTCGGGTCTTTGAGAGTTACCCATGTCTGTCTGCGAGAGTGTTTTTATCATGGAATCAAAAGAAGAACTGACGTTTTCAGTCAAAGGCACAAGACGACTGGGGGTGAAGCTGTGTCTCAAGGTCTGAGTGAGCTTCAGCTTCCGAAACCGATTGGACATTCTGTTCCACCATGACTTGATGCCCGCTTTGTCATCTGGAGGAACTGGGATGGTAAAAGACGGTTTGCTCTTGGTATTAAGAAATTTATTTTTCTGCTTTGACTTGTCCTTGTCTCCTTGCAGGCATACAGCTGCCAAAAGCTGGACAAGCTCGGTGTCTGGATCGTTAAGCAGCATAACCAGATCGAATGCCGTGTACCCATTTTTGGCTTGCAGGTTGACATCGGCACCTTGGTTTAATAGATAAATAACAATTTCTTTGTTTCCATGGTAGGTTGCTTGCATTAGAGCAGTCCAGGCATGGACACTGTCCTGTTTGTTTATATCTGCTTTCTTGTCCACCAGAAGTTGCACCACTTCCAGTTTTCCTTTAACGGCTGCTATCATGAGTGGTGAAGCTCCATCAGCATTAACGGCATTGACCTGATTGGAATCCTCATCCACAATTTCCTTAACCAATGCCAGATTCCCCATTTTCACAGCATGAAAAATGTCGGGCCGCCTCTTCTCCTCATCGGTCTTAGGCCTGACGGTTGTGATGGAATCCAAGTAGTCTTTCATGTCTTTATGTTTAAAATTTAGGGCAATTTCGAAAGGGGTCCTCCCCAAGCTGTTCACCTGGTTGGGATCAGCTCCTCTGTCCACCAGTTGCTGCGCCACGCTTAAACGACCATGTAGGGCAGCAAGCATCAACGGACTCCAACCGGTCTTTACACAATAGTTCACATCGGCTCCCCAGTCCAGTAGCAGGCGCACTGCCACTTCGTGAGCGTGCTGTACGGCAGTCATCAAAGCAGTAATCTCCGGCATCTCCCCCCCGTGACCTTTGCCTATGGCATTGACGTCAAAATGATCGTAATTGTCCACAAACGCTCCGCTTTCGAGGAGCAGGTTCACCACGCTAGCATGACCCCCTCTTGCAGCCACCGTAAGGACGCTGGCTCCGAGCCGATTCTGAGCGTTGACGTCTGCTCCATTTTCTAGTAATATGTGGGCGACATTTAGATGCCCCGATCTGGCGGCCTGCATAAGTGGCGTCCAGCCGTAGTGGTTCCTGGTGTCCACTGAGGCCCCCTTCATTAGAAGGAACCTCACCAGTGGTTCGTGTCCTCCTCCGGCAGCCATCTGCAGTGCCGTGTTCCCATCTTCATCCGTGCAGTCCACTGGCACAAGGGCGGTTCCGGTGGAGGCCCCACCTGAGAATCCTTGTAAATTTACCCTGGAAGAGGCCGACCCTTCTCCTCCGCGACCCCCAGCGCTGGACGAACCGCTGGAATTCTCTGGCTCCAGCAACCTGCGTGCGCCGTCCAGGTCCCCATCCTCGCAGGCGGCGAAAAGCAGTAAACATTGTGCAGGGATGGTGCACTCCATGATACAATCAGCACTCAGTCTATAGTACAGCCTGCACACTCCAATCTACAGCCGGCCATGTACAGCCCCCAGTACAGGGTCAGATCTATTAGGGGAGGGAGGAGAGGAGATTCGGGCATGCAGAGGTCACAGTCAGTCCACTGTACCGTCCGATAGGCTCTCTGCCACCATCACTGGCTCTCCCGGTGATCGCGGTGATACGATGGTTGATACTTTGTAGCGAGGCCCCCGGATATGGAGTTTCCGAGTTCGTAAAGTTCAATAGTGTCCAGCGCAGTGCGCATGTGCGGACCCGGGAATTCGCTGCATTCCGTTATGAAAGGTTACAGGGCGGCGCCGGGGGGGGGGAGCTTATAGTGTACCGTCCCCGGGACCCCCCTGGACGGGTGTCGCTGCACTGCTGCCGAATGTCCATGCTGTAGTCCCGACCGGCGAATAGGCATTGCCAGGAGATGTCCCGCCCGACGGTGCATGTATTGTTCCAGCCACTGCCGGGCACAGATGCCAAGGGGGGGCCGTGGGGGGCTTCTCTGTGTTTGAGTTACCACGAATACCAATGGTGGAACGGAGCTAAATCAGTGATACCAACATACTGGGGGTGTTATGGCACTAATGCCAGCATGGCAGGAACACTACACCACTGATGCCAGCATGGCAGGGGTACTACATCACTCTGCCATGCTGGCAGGGGTACTACATCACTGGGATACTACACCACTGATGCCAGCATGGCAGGGACACTACACCACTGATGCCAGCATAGCAGGGATACTACACTACTGATGCCAGCATGGCAAGGACACTACACCACTGATGCCAGCATGGCAAGGACACTACACCACTGATGCCAGCATAGCAGGGACACTACACCACTGATGCCAGCATGGCAAGGACACTTCACCACTGATCCCAGCATAGCAGGGGCACTACATCACTGATCCCAGCATAGCAGGGGCACTACACCACTGATGCCAGCATAGCAGGGACACTACACCACGGATGCCAGCATGGCAGGGACACTACACCACTGATGCCAGCATGGCAGGGACACTACACCACTGATGGCAGGGACACTACACCACTGATGCCGGCATGGCAGGGACACTACACCACTGATGCCAGCATGGCAAGGGCACTGTACCACTGATCCCAGCATGGCAGGGGTACGACACCATGGATCCCAGCATGGCCGGGGTACCACACCACTGATGCCAGCATGGAAGGGGTATTACACTGCTGATGCCAACATTCTAGGGGCATTTCACCGCTAAATGCCACCATACCAAGGGCATTACACCACTGATGCTAGCATGGCAGGGGTACTACACCACTGATGTCAGGGTGTGAAGGGTGCTACACCACTGATGCCAGCATGGAAGGGGCAATACACCACTGATGCCCGGGTGTGCAGGGATATTACACTGCTGATGCCAACATCCTGAGGGTGCTACTGCACTAATGTCATCATGTCAAGGGCATTACACCACTGATGGCAGGTGTACTACACCACTCATACCAGGGTGCGAAGGGCGCTACGCCATTGATGCCAGCATGGAAAGGGCACTACACCAGTGATGCCAATTTGTGGGGGTGCTGTGCCAGGCTGCCAAGGGTGCTAAGCCACTGATGCTAGCATGTGGGGGGCAGTACACTACTGATACCATCGTGGTAGGGAACTATACCACTGATGCAAACATTGTGGGAGCTCTATGCCGCTGACTTCAGCATAGCAGAGGCACTTGGTAGTTGAAAAAAAAAAAAGGAGTTTTTGCATATGTATGAAGACAATGATCGCACTACACGTTGGGTATCACCGCACACGCCGGAGTGAGGGCAATCATTCTCGGGCCAATATTTCACTCAGCCTCATAATCTGAGCCGACCTGTGACAATGAGAATGTCACAGGTCGGCTCAGTAGATCGGGAAGTGAGTGAACACATACTGTCGCTCGCTCACTTCTCGATCTATCCCTGCAGAGAGCCGTGACTGTCACTCACGGCTCCGTGCAGGGATTCCCCCCCTCCCCTGTCCGATCCTCCAGCGCTGACTGGGGGAGCGGACAGGGGAGGGCACAGCTGGCTCTGGATAGGCAGAGCCAGCTGTCAATCCCGCAGGTGGGTGGATCTCGACAGCAATGACGGATCCGTTCCGGCTGCGGCGTCTCAGTATACCGCGAGCTGTAGCCCGCTATACAGTATACTGAGCTTTGGGTCACGGGAGAACGCTAGTTTGTGTTCTGCCGTGACCCTTAGGAGAACTATGGGGAAAAGCCCTGACCCCATAGTCACTCACCTCATAGTTCTAGCCGACCTGTGACAATGAGGCTGTCACAGGTCGGCTCAGTAGATCGGGAGGTGAGCGAACACCTACCGGCGTTCGCTCACCTCTCGATCCTGTCACGGCTCTCTGCCGTGATGGGAGGGGCTGGATTCCCCCCGCTCCGATCCGCCAGCGCTGACTGGCGGAACGGACGGGGGAGGGGGCGGGTACAGCTGGCTCTGCCTCTAGATAGGCAGAGCCAGCTGTCAGTCACGCAGCTGGGAGGATCCCGGCACAATTGTCGGGATCCGCTTCAGCTGCGGCGTCTCAGTATACCGCGAGCAGCAGCTGCAGCTCACGGTATACTGAGCCTAGGGTGACGGGAGGACGCTAGTTTGTGTCCTCCCGTTACCCTAAGGAGAACTATGGGGAAAGGCCCTAACCCCATAGTTCTCCTTATAGGGAGTGAATGTAAAACATAACACATATACGGGATGATATTTTATAGGGTAACAATATCCTTCTATATTATATTGAGGATGGGATAACGCATGCCGCAGTATTTTAGTTGTATGTGGACGGTTTGTCATGGTAGGAATTCGTAGAGAGTACAATAAACAAGGGCAGAGAGAGAGACGGAGGTATTGGGGAGATCGGCGCATCATCAGCTATTTTTATATAAAACGGCGGCAGTGGAATGCCAGTTTACTGTCAAAGGCTTGCAGCTTCGCCAGTTCGGCTTTATTTTGACAATAGCTGTCACAGGGAAACATGCCGCTCGTCTCTCCGAGCAAAATTAATATTTTAAAATGTTTAAAATAATATTAAGCAGACAGCAACAAACACGGCTGCCGTGTATTCATCTGAGCCAAACAAACACAAATAACACGGACAGGTTGTTGTTTTTTGGATGGATGGCAGAACGGGACGGTCCAAAGGTTTTATATGAGACGCCCCCTGGTCTCCATATCTTACACTGATGATGGCAAACAAGACAAGCTTGGCACGTCAGATATCTAAATAGGACTCATTCCCACCTATGCACGTTGCATTGGCTCATTCATTTCCATTGGATCTAATGCACCCGACAGTTTTTTAATGCACCACAATGCATGTGTTCTTTGTTGCTTGCTCTGCGGTGCGCTGAGAGGCACGTGCCTTTGTGTTTGCTCTGCACGCACATTGGTTTGCAGTTAAAACACGCATGCTTTGGTGTGAAAATCCAGTTGACTGTGCCGTTCATAGCACAGATCCCTTATATTTCACAAATGTGGGATACAGATCAGCCCCTGCTGCAACTTCTCACTTTGTGACTTGCTTCAGAGTTACAATGTTGCAGACTGATCACTGGGGGAGGGGAGACCTGAGAAAATGCTTCCTCCTGCCTGCAGCAGACGGATCACTGGGGAAGAGGAGAGTGAGGAACTGCTTTCTCCTGCCTGCAGAAGACTGATCACTGAGTAAATGCTTCCTCCTGCCTGCAGCAGACTGATCACTGGGGGAGGGGAGACTGAGGAAATGCTTCCTCCTGCCTGCAGCAGACAGATCACTGGGGAATAGGAGAGTGAGGAACTGCTTCCTCCTGCCTGCAGAAGACTGATCACTGAGGAAATGCGTCCTCCTGCCTGCAGCAGACTGATCACTGGGGGAGGGGAGACTGAGGAAATGCTTCCTCCTGCCTGCAGCAGATGGATCACTGGGGAAGAGGAGAGCGAGGAACTGCTTCCTCCTGCCTGCAGAAGACTGATCACTGAGGAAATGCGTCCTCCTGCCTGCAGCAGACTGATCACTGGGGGAGGGGAGACGGAGGAAATGCTTCCTCCTGCCTGCAGCAGACTGATCACTGGGGGAGAGGAGAGTGAGAAACTGCGTCCTCCTGCCTGCAGTAGACTGATGACATAATCTCAGCCTAGGCAGTGTCACTGACTGGAGCTCAAGGATGGCATTTTAATAATAAAATGCAGTGATTTTTTTGTTTTTATTGACATATCAGGGAATTCTTCACGCAGACTTGCTGCAGAAGTTACTGAAAGGTCCACTTTAAATTCTCTAAATTTGCACTTTTAATTAGCAGCACATCCCCGAAGTATCTTACAGACTCGGAGGCTTCAATACGTCTGTCCTTAGTGGAAGATTTGATTGTCGTGACAATTAGGAGCAATTATTCTGTTAAACAAAAACTATTATAGGAATTAAAAAAAAAAAAAAAGGTCCATTTTTTTTTCTCACAAGTAGACAAAACACCCACCAAGTGTCAATCACAGATGACATAACAGAGGATCCCAGCAGAAAGTTTAGAGGAAATAATTAAAAAGAAGTTGCAGAGAACGGTGACGATATAGAAGAAGGACTTTTATCAGACATCAGAACCGAGAGGAATATGAAGACTACCCATCTCCGACATTTCAGCATGGTGGTCAGGCCGGCCCAGTGTCTTCAGTACTCAGTACAGTTCAGTAGTCATTTTTGGTTGGCTTCCTTTAAAGGCTCCAGTCAACAGACGTGGCCAGTCACTAAACATTTATTGCTGCTATGTCTGTGGTTTTATAGCATCTACTGTGATGGGGTTAAGCAGGGCATTCGCAATGTTGGAACTGCAGCCTTTTTTGCTGTTAAGGTGGCACCATGCATGTTTAGGGCGCACAGTGCTTGGACTGATCAGCACAGCAGACATCATTATTCAGAACCTTTCAGAAAATAGGTCTGCTGGCAGACTTAGGGTTTGTTGAGCTGTATGCCA